TTGAAAATTAACATGGGACTGTTCAGTTGGAGTATATGGTTGGGAATTAGGGATGTATTTACTCCTTGTAGATATGGGGGCTTCCCTGGTGGCTCAGTTGGTAAAGAATCTACCTACAATGCAGGAGATCTGGGTTCGAACCTTGGGTTGGGAAGATCCCGTGGAGAAAGAAATGTCAACCCACTTTAGTATTCTTGCCTGGAGAATCCCATGGACAGAGAAAAGCCTGATGAGCTACAGTCCACGGGGTCGCAAGAGTCAAACATGACTTAGTGACTAAATCAGCACCACCATGACTAGATATGAAGGGATTATGAATGATTTCTTTACTCTTTCCTCAAATATATATTAAAAAAATTATAATACAACTATGGAGGGAAAAACCATACCTAATGCAGCTTGACTAAACCAATAATTTAGTCATTTTCTGGACACTTGTCAAAGTGAAATTTATCTTTAGCACCCTGAAGGAGTGAATGCAACATCCTCCAAACCAAAAATGTGTCTCTTCACAGGGAGAGCCTTGAGATGGAGGTGTGGCATACTAACAGCACATAAGCACTCATTAACTTAGATCTGTGTAAAGTAATGGATCACTGATAGAAATGTACCCCTCCTTGTCAGGCTGAGCAAGAACAGGGCAGGTGGGAAAGCACATCTGTAGGGAAAGCAGAAGAAAAAAACTGAAGCTAAAAATCCATTAAACAATAGATAGCAATACAACGTAACAATACAAGATACAGAACCTAGCTGGCCCTTCACTGGTCCAGCATTACATGGTGAAGGACAGTGAAGCCTGGCATGTTGCGGTCCATGGGGTTGCAGAGTCGGACACAACTGAGAGACAGAACAACAACAACGTGAGTGAAATCTTCTTTAAAACACAGAGAAACTCTTTAAATTCAAAACCCCTGTTTTAAGCACATTGAATGGGAAACTCCTCTAGTGACTTAAAGCTTTGTCTTTTTGAACTGTGTACCCAGGTCTTGAAAATCACCAGCATGATTAAGATCCTAAGACCCCCTCATCAAACTCAAAAGAGGTGGCCAGTAGGCACATAATCAGTGCGCTGTAGTGAGAGACCAGAGGGGAAGAATGATTCTGGGATGGGGAGATATACACTTCCCAGTGGTGACTTATAACGGTGGGGGTGAATGATGAGGAGGATGGCCTATTGGAAGGAACTAGGAAAAAATGAAAAGACAAGTTGGATTAGATCATAAGCGGTCCTGAAGAACTATCCAAGGAGCTGACACCTTCTGTAGGGCTGGAGACGCAGCTGCACTTCCTCGGGAAGGGAGTAACACAATTTGACGGCAGTATGGGTCTATGGGGTGCTTCCTCCTTATACTCTGCTGCAATCTAAAGCTTTAGAAATCATGTTTGGAATCAAACAACTTTGAGGCCCCCCTTCAGAACAGAAATCCACAACTTTGTACTATTGTTATTTATTTCTCAGTCCTGTGGAGTGGTTAGGAGCAGTACTCTCTATTCTTCATGTTTGCAGGTGAAGAGAGTTCCTAGGAATAACCCTCCTGGAGTAAATAACTAATATTTATCACTGGAAGTTGAAATATTAACTATTCTTACTGGGGTTGGAACTAAACTAGAAATCTATGGAAGGCAATTCACAGTTACCATAGTTGGTATTTTTTCTCCTTCCAAGTAGGCTATCATTGGTAAAACAGCATGTATATACTAAAAATTCCAGGGGTAGGCCACTGAAAACTTCTTGTGAAAGAGAAAAAGAAACTGTGGAAGTAAGTAAGACCCTGAAGCAATCTGGATTGTCCACAGGAATTGAGTGCCTTGGGAAGGGATGTGGCTGCCATCATTTGAAGGTTCGTGCCTAGGCTGGTCTGCCACCTGGTGGGATCTGGCAGACAGTGAAGGGAGATGTTTAAGAGCTAGATAACCCAGAATCAGTTCAGGCTCTGTCATTTACTTATGGTATAACCAACAGCAGATTACTTAACCTCTCCAAACCTGTAGTGCCCTCTTCTATGTGGCAGGGATAAAAGTATCACAGTGTCATTATGAAAAATAAATGAGATAGTATATGTGGTTCAGCTAGCACTGTGCTTGCCACACAGTAAACATTAACAGACACCAATAATAAACATAACTTTCATAGTATCATGAAAGAGTTAAGCTTAAAATCTGGGAGGTGTCCCACATGACATTTAAAGTCCCTTCTTACTAAAAGAATCTTAAGTGTTTACATCCTCCATTGATGTCTCATTAGAATTAAGGCTATTCTCTGCCTGAAAAGGCACCCATACACACACACACACACACACACACACACACACACACACGCATGTGTGCACACATGCACATTTGTGTGCGCATGTCTACTAAAGTATTAGGAAGCAGTTCCAACAAACAGAACATGTATAAAAGATATTACTAGCAGTCTGCATAAGTACACATGTACCAGAGGTTTGTAATTAACTCTGCACATAGGAAATGGCAACCCACTCCAGTACTCTTGCCTGGAAAATCCCATGGATGGAAAAGCCCAGTAGGCTACAGTCCATGGGGTCGCAAAGAGTCGGACACGACTGAGCGACTTCACTTCACTTCACATATGAGGTCAGTGTTTCATGGGGCTTTTTCCCCATAGAAACGTCAATAATGAGGAGGATCTGGAAACAAGTTTTCTCCTCAGCACAATCATCAACAAAGCAAAGTGGTGGAGAAGCACTTTATTCCCATGCCCTACTGATTTAATGACTGGAAGCTAGAGTGAAATCAAATACTCTCAACTTGTTCTAATTATTTTCACTTTTATAAGACTTCTATTTTGCAACTAGAATACTAGTTGACTGAGTCAAATTCTTCCATGGCAGCTTTAAACCATTTCTTAGGGCTCTTACTACTCTTCTGGAGGCTCAACCATTTAAGACCATTATCTAGAATTAAATGACAGCTTCAGTTATGTCTAACCAACAAGCATTGTTCCAAGGATTGCTGCAGTTTTCTAGCCTGTGTCTCAGGATGATAAGGCTTAGGCTGGTATAACCGAAAAAGTTAAGACTCAGGTCCCATACTTGAAGAGCTGCCGATAAGCCAAATATCAATAATTTTAATGATTTACAAACATATGGTATACTCAAGTATTTTCAAAGAACTTCAAATATACTATCTTACTTGATCTTTATCACAGAACATAGAAGAGGCTTATATTTTTATCTTCACTTGGAAGACAAGGGAAAACTTTGAGTTCAGAGATGCTAAACTCAAGATCCCACAGCTAGTGAACGACAGAGCCAGAACTGGAACCCAAGTTTTTGTCTCAGAATCTAGGACTCAATTGCCCAATACTGTTTGTAAAAGACACTTATGTGTGCTTACAAAATAGCTATGTAGTTAGAGAATGGCATTCAATAAATATTAATCAATGACCTAAGTTTACTGTAATTCAGGATAATATTTTCATGATTAGTTTTACATTTTAATTAAACTTGATAATACATTTTTAACTTATCTGAAAAGATATTAAATAGATACATATTTTATACCACCCTATATACAATACCTAAGTCTACAAAGACTACGTTGCTCATTATCCACTGAAACTACAGTGGATAAATATATCCTTCTGCAAATCTGGCACTGTGCACCCCTCTTCAATTTCCTGTTTTGTGAAAAGATGACCATGATCTGAGGAAAACCTTAAGAACAATAGAGATCACCTATCTCTGTCATTCTGGAGATCAACAAAGTACATTAAAGCAGGTAACTCCATAAGCCATCACACAGGCACACATACACACACCCCAAACCACCCTTTTGCTACAGTACTGCAACAAAACAAGAAAACAGCCTTATTTTGTCATTTTTCACCAACATAAATTTTCATTAGACATTCTGTCAAGAAAACTGTCTTGTTGTACCTGATGTGAACTACAGGAGGTTTCCTAGAGATCAAAATGTGGTTTATAATATCCAGAAACAGAAAATGGCCCTCAGCAATAAACCTATCATGGAGCGGGTACTCAAATACAGGTAATTCATGAACACACACTCTCCTTCTGAATAAAAGATTATAGAAATATCCTCTGCCATGATTTGTCTCCCTTAAAATCAAATTGAGAAAAAATACATGGGAAATACTGCATATTTATAAATTGATCACTCTTGTGGTTAATAAGACAAATATTTCCAATTAAATAGCACTCACAAGTCATAAGAAAACTATTCCATACTGTGAGGTTTTCCTCATTATTTGCTGGCCAATACTGATTATCATTTACTCATGGGCTTTCCTGATAGCTCAGTTGGTAAAGACTCTGCCTGCAATTCAAGAGACCCTGGTTTGATTCCTGGGTGGGAAAGATCTGTTTTGAGAAGGGCTAGGCTACCCACTCCAGTACTCCTGGGCTTCCCTTGTGCTCAGCTGGTAGAGAATCTGCCTGCAATGAGGGAGACCTGGGTTTGAACCCTGGGTTGGGAAGATCCCCTGGAGAAAGGAAAAGCTATCACTCCAATATTCTGGCCTGGAGAATTCCATGGACTGCATAGTCCATGGGATCGCCAAGAGTCTGACAACAACTGCATGACTTTTACTTCACTTCACTTATGGAGACACAGAATTTCATATTAGTAATTTTTTTTACCACTGCTATTCACAGCAAGGTTCATTTCTTGAGTTCATTCTAAGTAAGACCATAACTGATGATGTGCAATTCCTATCAAATGCATATCCTTGGGGATCTCCATATTTTGCCAATTTCAGGCTTCCTGACCTGGCTTGCCTAAGCTAGATCTATCAATTTACCTTTACTATAAGAAGCCCGAGAATGGGCCCCAAAGCCTCTTGAATGTAGTTTTGCCTAAAAATGAGGCCAATAAGCATAGCCTATGCAGGGCCTCAACCAAAATTCACTGGTTGCAATTCAGTCTTTTTAGAACTGGGTGTATTTGAGACATGACATTGTGGTCAGCACATACTCTCTGCTCTCCTAACGAGCTCCTACGGGATCCCAGCGACTCACTTTTGGCACGTGAGGATTGAATTCCACAGCTCTATGAATGGCCTCTACCGCATTCATCTCTGCTGTGCTCAGCCCCCGCCGAGATGCAGCCTCAGGAGAGAATCTGAAAAGCAGAAAGACAAACGCCATCCAGTTGGGACCACTGCTTGGGCATTAACCCGGAAAGGCATCCACACATCAAGGGCCCAGAAAAACCACAGCGAGCCAAAGGCATGAGCTCTCCAAACCTCCACTGCATCAGACCTCTGAGAGACCCTTCAGACAGAGGCCAACAAAAACCCCAGCAGAAGCAGAAAGCGTGCTTGTGTCTAATCGCGAAAGGAATTCAATTCAGCTGTCAAGTCTCTCTGTCTAAATAGCTAATCTAAGTTTTCTAGGAGGTACCTGCTTAGGTCAGGGGAGGGGGGAGGACTGACAAGGGCGGACAGTGTAGGAAAAAGAGAAAACTAGGTTACAGAAGAGCGCACTTGGTTAAAAACAGAACTGGGGAGAATTTTAAAGGAGGCTCCCAACCCCATGTCAGTGCTGCGATGGAAGGTTAAGTCTTGCAGCTTCAGCAGCAGGCGAGCCTGCTGGGGGCCGTTCCGGCAGGGGGCGTGTGCATGCCCAAACTGCGGGCAAGACACCTGCCCGAGTGAATGAAAAAAACCAGACCATGCAATCTCTTTCTCACCTCACACCCAGGGCTAACTCCAGAGCTGTGCTTGGCAGGCAGACACCACAGGGGAAGCTGTGACAACCCTGGCCCTGCCCTCCCAAGCTGGAGTCGCTGTGTAGGGAGAAAAGATGTTGCAGTAGGTACTGGCGATCTACAGGATAAAAAAGAATGAAAGAAAATTACTTCGGTCTTGAAGTGCACACACACTGAACAGCAAACCTGTCTGACACAGCAGAGGCTGTGTTCTTTTCCTGGTATCTGCTTTTCAATGCTCCAGAGGGAGTGGATTGGGACATGTAAGCATTTATGAACTCAAAACCAGTTAAGCCATCTGTTCTCTTTCACCTGCCAGTCACCTGGTTTATGGAAATTCTCTATGCCATGTCACCTGCCTGAATAAAAAGGGCCAAGGTCCCACTGAGATGGTGACTCAAGGTAAACGAACCCTGGGTGGGGAGTCAGTTTGGAATTGCTGAGATAAGGAATGGGGGATGGCCATCCCCTTTTACTGTATTACATGGTATGACCACTGCCCCATCCTGGACTGCTGGAGGAAGAGGGATATGCAAAAAAAAAAAAAAATCAAAGAAGGCATTTTTGTGTAAGTCTCAAGCAGGCCTTTTGGTATCTGTGGTCTGGCAAAAAAAGAAAAAAAAAGGAAAAAAGTCACCTCAGAGGCATGGAATTTCATACAAATCCCTCTTTAGGGACCCATTCACCATTACAAGTCCTGGGGATATACATTCCCTCCTTCTAGTAGTGAAAGGAAAGATCAGCAGGTTTTGGAAAATGCATGCTCATAAGCAGGGGTCTCATAGACTAAGGAAAACTTCCAGAGAAACCCTCAGACACAACACGTCTCCTTTGGTCCAGACCAACACCTAGTACCACCAGGTCACTATCCACTTACTTGTCAGAAACAGCTCTTGCTTTGAGCAAGGCAGCTGTGTAGCATATTGTTGCCGACTTTGGTAAGCTTATATCTGTCAGAGAGAAAAGAAAAGTAGGAGCCGTTATATGTTGGTAGAAACAAAGAGCAATAATTTTAAATACACCAGCAATTTAATCATATAAGCCTAATAAAGCATAAGTTAAGAATATATCAATCAATGTATGCAGTACACAGCTGTTTCTTATGTATCTGGGTGGTATGTGACAAACAAGGTAATTCATTTCTCTGTAAGTAATTCATGTTTAAAGCCCACCACACTGTTTGGCAATCATCTTCTGTTTTAAAATATATATTTTCATATGTTGAGGTTAAGCAGAGAATAGCTATAAACACATAAAATAAATATTACATGAATAGCCTTGATATCAAGAAAGGCAAATAGGACCTCTTTGTTACTTATAAAATTTCTCAAGAGGTATATGAAATACTAAAGTGAAGAAAAAAATATTACCTGGAATTTTAAAAAAATATAAGCATTTTAGTGATAAATCAATTTATTTTAAAAACTATTTTTTAAAAATTTACCAGATTTCCTTTGCATTAAGCTTCAAGAAATTTATATTCAGTTTTTTGTTAACCATGAGAAGAAAAATCTTTATAAAGCTATATACATTTATATATACATATGAAATCTTTATAAAACTATACAATTTTTGTTCATTAAAAACCCATGACAAAGCCCCTTTCAAATTATGAAGCCTAATCTGTTGCCCAGAAAAACAGGTCCTTTTGGCTAATTTCAGATGGAGGGGTGAGGATGGGTACCAGATTCAATTTACAGGGAAAAAAGCACAGAGTGCAACTAAGAGTAGCTAAACTCAAAGAGGGTGGTCCCTTGATGGGGGGCAGATTTGTATTTAAATCATGATCTTATTTTGTATCAGAACTGTATTTCTTAAACACTCATAGTAATTTATACTATGACATAGAAATACTTTCTTAATTCAGACCAGGTAAAAATATGCCATTCTAAGGTGCTACAAAATTCACTCTAGATTAGAAGAACTCTTAACACTTGGAATTCTCTTCAAGTTTCTTGTAGGGCTGTTTTCAACTTTAGAAGAATGACATTAAAGTAGGAATGAAAAGGAAAGTCCATAACTAAACAAAAGACAGCAGCAGGAGAAAATAATTTCATAAAAGAAAAACAATCTCTCATTCAATAACCAATATTTACCACCAACTCCAGCATGAAGAATTTCTCTTTCAAGGAAATTTCAATGACGCCGATAAAATACAAATAATCAGAGAAAATACCAATACAGAATTGAAAGGGTCAGATGTCTCTGAAATCCTGATCTCATAAGTTATATTCAAACAAAACTTCAGCACCGTAAGCACAGTATAAAATGTGCTTGTGACTAAGAAAAAAAAAAGGTCAGATACTCATGGATTTGTCTTGTTGTTTTCCCAATATCTAATCATTTAACCACTTCCCAGTAGTGAAGGAAAAAGGATCCTGGTGAGCCACAGTCCCTGGGGTCGCAAAAAGTCAGACAGGACTTAGCAACTGAACAACAGTATGGGAAATTAGTCCAGGAATCAATTGTCTTGTTTGCTAGGGTCCACTTATTGATTGTTATTAGAAGATAATAAAAAAAAATTGCAGATAATACACATTCTACTTAAAAGTTTAAACCTTTTTTTTCTTTTTTTAAGTTTAGACCTTTCAGTTAAACATTATCCAAGCCCAGTTTTCAGGTTTCCCAGGTGGCGCTAGTGGTAAAGAGTGAAGTGAAAGTCACTCAGTTGTGTCTGACTCTTTGTGACCCCATGGACTCTATAGTCCATGGAATTCTTCAGGCCAGAATACTGGCGTGGGTAGCCCTTCCCGTCTCCAGGGAATCTTCCCAACCCAGGGATTGAACCCAGGTCTCCCTCATTGCAGGCGGACTCTTCCCAATCCAGGGATTGAACCCAGGTCTCTGCATTGCAGGTGGATTCTTTACCAGCTGAGCCACAAGGGGAGCCCAAGAACACCGGAGTGGGTAGCCTATCCCTTCTCCAGCGGATCTTCCAGACCCAGGAATTGAACCTGCGTCTCCCGCATTGCAGGTAGATCTTTACCAGCTGACCTATGAGGGAAGCCCCGTAGCTTCCCTCATGAAGAACCCTCTTGCTAATGCACAAGACATAGAGAAGTGGGCTCAATCCCTGGGTCAGTTGGGAATATCCCCTAGAGGAGGGCATGGAAACCCACTCCAGTATTCTTGCCTGAAGAATCCCATGGACAAAGGAACCTGGCAGGCTACATTTCATAGGGTCACAAAGAGTTGGACACGACTGAAGTGACTTAGCACTCACACAAGCCCTGTTTTCACCCTTCCTAGAGTGATCTGTGTTCCTTCTGTGTCAATCTAGCACCTTTCTATGAAATGGGAACAAAGGATTAGTACTAGAAAGGAGCTGAAACTGAAAATAATGGTCAAAATTGTTTGAAGGTGGCAGCACAAGAGGGAGCCTCACTTGAAAAACTAAAGAAAACCTGTTGCTGAGGATTTAGCTTCTCAGGGGGAAGGATCAGGTTGTTTTGAAGCAAAGGGACACATTCACCTAGTTGGAAATGCAGAAACATATATATAACTGAGGTGTTCCAGCAGAGTATTAGAGATATCTAATCAAAGGCAATCTTTAACCCTTTCACTCCTATAGACAAGACATTCACAACTCTGCAACATTATAACTACCATGGTATATTTTCCCCATTTAAAAAATGTTTACCCTTATTCCTTCATTGTATGTGAAGATGTTTGTAGTATATGTGCATGATCATAATACTTAATAAAGAAAAATATATTTTAGTCAGTATCAAATGGGAGAAGGAAAAATATAAATACCACAATTTTCCACTAGTGGCAAGTTTATTTCATTTGTTATCTCTTTAGTATACTATTTGCTTTCACTGTTAAACAATTCACTGTAGCAAACAATTCTTACATAACTTACTTACATAGTTTCAATACTTTTCTTTTAATTCTGTCAAAGCAAGACATCTATTTGGTAATGGCAATCTGTCTCTAAGGAGGGATGAATCATTATAAAGAAACTGATCCTAAATATCCCTTCAGATAAAGCATCTTGTTCAAACAAGGCTTTCTTTTATAACATATTTTTGTAAATGACACTTATTTCTGACAATATAAATCAAATGCTTTAACATTTTACCTACCCAGCAATTCTACATCTAAGACTTTATCTTAAGCGATGGTGTTATGATTGTGCATGAAGATTTAACCTTAAGGATGTTGATCATGACATTATTTCTAATGGTATAAAACTGCAAACAGCCTAAATGTCCAATCATAGGAGAAAGGCTAAGGTGCTACACCATCCACAAGGTGCAATTCTGGGCAGTCATTAAGTTGTACGGTAGATAAGTATTTAATGAGCTGGGAAAGTTTGCATTATTGTGTACACATCAATAAGTAAAACAAGTTTACAAAAATTATGATTTCACATATTTTAAGAAAAGCACTTATATACAGAGAGATAAAAAGCCTGGAATTATACATATGAAATATTAAGTTTTATTTCTGGGTGCTGGGATTATAGACAATTTTCTCCTGCTTATCTGCATTTCCAAAGCTTCCTGTGATGTACATGTAATAAGTGAATTTTTAAAAGATAATGATGATGCTAAATAGAAGGATTCTTTTTACTAACTGCCTGAAGCAAGTTCATGGGCAAATACATTGGTAGAGCCAGACACAGACAGCATAAACAGACAAAGGCAGAACTTACACAAAGTGCTGTCAGCCCTGCAGATCTAGAAAATGTATTTACATGCCTTTTAAAAAGCTAGTGTATTCTTTTGCAATTGTTAACCATATTTTGATCTAATAACTGCCTAACATCTAAATCAGAGGCAGGAACTGCATGTTTTGGCACACTTTTTAAGAAAAACCATATACACTACCTTTAGGAGAAAGCTAATTACTATGGGCTGCTTGCCCCATAAGCACTGCCTTTTTCATTTTGTAGGGAAAATAAAAGACTGAGACTTGCTGGTTGCTGCCTATTATAATTTTGAAAATTATTATTTTGAAATAATTATAGTGTCATAGGGAGTTGTGAATATAGCACACAGTGTTCTGTGAAGCTTCCCTCAGCTTCCCTCAAATGGTAACAACTCACAAAACTGTATAAAGATATAAAAAACCAAGAGACTGACACTGGTATAGTACTATTAAGTCAATTACAGACCTTATTCAGTTTTCACCATTTTTTACATACATTCCTGAGTTTGTGGTTCTATGCAATTTCATCCCAAGGCTAGATTCATCTAACCACCACTACTATCAAAACATACAACTTTCCCAAAGGAATTCTCTTATGTTGGCTCTTTATTTGTACCCTTCTCACCCATACCTGTCCCCCAGTGACCACTAATCTGCTCTTTATCTCCATAAATTTGTCTGCCTACTATCATTTTATGCTTTTGCAATCAGGGAAATGAATATAATGGTAAGGGGAACAGAGTGACTAAGAGTAGTGATGAAAATGGTAGTATCAGAAGTTTAAAGCAGGGAATAACACCAAATAAGATGCTTTCCTATACTTCTTATAATTTATTCAGAAATTTTATTTTGAGGAAGAGACTCGAAATTATTCTAAGTCCGATTTGTACGAAGAGACTCTAACTGTGCAGTGCTTTTCTGTCTTTTTAAGTGGTGTGTAGCTACCACTATTGCCAGAAAGTCTCTTTAAGCATTAGAATCTAAGGAGGAAATGAAAGGAAATAATGAGACATCACATATTTCCATTATTCATTATAGAAAGAAGGAATGCTGATGTTTCTCACTTAAGCAAAGCTGAACTGCTGGCGTTAATTTTCCTTCCACTTCTTTGCTATCTTGTGCTTCATATAGATCCTTTTATGAAAAGGGAAGAACTTTCTCTAAGCATCTTAGGCATGTAAAATCAAATGGACATGAAAGACTTTAATTAAAAGCTACAGTCTTGAACTCCACAGAATTAGAATCATAATGTATGCACTTTCGTGTCAGGCTTCTTTCATTCCAAATGATATTTC